GCGATTCAGAAGAAAGCACCCATACTTTTGCAGAAGTTGCTTTGTTTCTTCTGCAATCACTTTTTGCAGAAACTACTTCTGGAGCTCACTTACTAGAAGTCACTTAAATCTACCCTTAGCATATGCCGAAGTATTTTATCAATGCATCTCTTGTTGTTTCTAATTAAATTCTAACGGTTTTTCTAAAAGTTTTCAGTATTTGAAGTCCTGCGTCTAGAACCAAGTTTTTTTCTGCTAATTATATCTATAAAATTGAGTGTTTGGTATCAAAAATCAATCGCTTTTTGGATTTCACACTGTATTAACATTACATACTGCCTCTGACAGAATTCTTCATTTTGTGGCGATAGGCATGACCAAGTAAACCTTACATTTGTCTATTATTCACTCGTTTACTCATAAGAACTTAATTTTTAAAAGAAACAAGTTTTAAAGTTGTCTTTTAGTCTTCAAAACAATGTGCAAGAAAAACTAGATTTTTTTATAAGCACTCTGAGTTTATTTTTTGAATTATGGTTATGTTATCGCCGAACTAACGTCGAATTAACCTAATCTAAAGGTGTATCTACACCTTGTTAATTGAGTAATAATTGGAAAAAAAGAGATTTTTATTTGGAACGGTAATTTTGGTACAGAACCTTATTTTCCGTCAAAAGAAGAAAATTTATTTTGGTTATGCTTAGTTTTTATTAGTTTATTCCTGTTTGCAAAGTTTACGAATGATTTCTACCTATTCCACCGTTGAAGAGAAGGGTTTAATTAACTGCAGTATTTCTTGACAGTCTGTAGCGGCAATGATGTGTATGTTTTTCTTGAAAATAATAGGAGCAACAGAAAGTTTGCATTTCACGTCAAAAATGAAGAATTAGTTTGAAACATTTTGAAGGTAAAAAAGAGGGCACAGAGACATTTAGGAGAAAAATTAAACAATCTTTTTTTTTTTAAATTGTTATAAGCTACTTTTTCTTACAATATTTTTTGATTTACGGAGGTCAAACAACAAATATTGCGAATTCGTCATTATTTATAGTCCAACTTAGTGGCAACAATTAGCAGCGGTTAATTTTGTTTTACGTTACAGTTACTGTATTAGTTTTTTTGATAGTCTTATACTTTATTGTTTCTCATTTTTGCTTTGAATTTAGTAAGTTTGCTAAAGACCAGTTTTCGCTTTTTATATTAAAAGTTAAATTTGGTAGTTTTGGCGAAGCACAGGAAGAGCAGGACTGCAATTAAGGAGGAAATTTCTGTGAAGGAATCTATGCTAACCGACTTTGTTGTTATTTCTCCTGAGATCTCCTCCTCCTACGATAAAATCTGTGTGAATTTGTAATTTAAAACTAGAGAAAAGGAAATTGCAAACAGTCTAACTGTCAATGGTAAACTGGAAAGAATTCATTTTTTCTCACTAGTGAGGTATTTTATACTAACTATTGACTTGCAATACTGGCTTGAATTTTCGAGGTTTTGCTGTACTTTTACCATTTGCAGTCGCAATTTATGTTTCTTCATTTCAGTCTTTCATAATTTTTTATTTGAGTTTAAAACTACAGATGTATTTCCTTCTTCTTCCGCGGTTTTCGAGATATCAGGATTTAGAGTATACTATAATCTACTGCAGTTTTTTTGCAAATAGAAACTTGCATAAAGTTTTCAATTTGAATAATTTTTTTAATTGACTAAAAGTTGTTCCTCAACGGAGTTATAACTAATAACGTTTACAGCATACTTTGGAGCCACTGTTTTCTATCTTAATAACTTAATATCAACAGTTTGTCTTTTTTCAACGAGACTGTCGTTGGCTTCAGAAATGACATTGATGAGTATTGTTTTCAGTCGGGTTTCCTCTTTCATTTCATGGTACCGTTCAAACTCTAAGACCCAAAAATCGGTTTTCTTATTCAAGTCGTGAATTTGGTTCATTTGGTAAAGTTTATATAAATTTCAAACAAATTTTTTTTCTGTAGAACCCGAATATGATTTTTTTAGGCAATAAATTATGAACTTTCACTTATGCAGTGTAAACGCTGAATAGAGTGGAATGAAAATATTTTGCTTCTTTTATGCTGGTAAACACCATTATAGTATTTCGATGTACTGGTTCTTGTTGATTTTAAAGTTGCAGCCAACTGGTCAGTGGGAGGACCCACGTAGGGAGGAGACGTTCTTTCTACCTACTTTGCTTAACAAAATAAATATTTATTAATTTTTCTTACCAAAGGAGCGTTGTTGTAGTGTACTCGACTGCGGACAACTGAAAAGATTGGGAACTGGGTCGTTTAGTCAATCTATTGAAACTGATATTAGTTTCAGATTTTTCGCCTTTATCTGCTGCTGTTAATTTCTCTTTCGCGTAATCTGGAGATGTCTTTAATTTGCCTCTTTTTACCATTTCCGTTTTTTTTTCGACTACTGGACTTTTTTGAGTGCTGAAATAATAAGTTAAGTGGCAGCTGTAATTTAAATGATTTTACAAATATGCAGTCAGTTTTTTTGACTAATTTAGAACGTTAATCCAGGTTAGGGTTAAAGTGAAATGAGAAATTTGCAGTTTTTTAATCTTCAAAGTGAAGAGCTTAGTCTCTGACACGTTAAGGGAATGCTTATTATGCGGGAGTTGATTTGAAAGAAGCAAGATAGACCCATAATTGTAAAGTTTTCGTAATTGGTAAAGAAGCGAGGATCAAGTTTTGGTAGAAGAGAGTCTTGTCAGCTATAATGAAATAGTCCAGTTTACGAGTCAGCAAAAACAGATCTTGTTTTCGTCCCAAGTGTTAAACAAAAGAACGCTTTCACTTTGACTTAATTTGCTCGTGAAACTATAATGGGAAAGTACCATATAGTGGCACTGAAATGGGGGGTCGTAGCTACTATAGTTCGTAAACAATTTGAGATTTCTGCATTATTTTCTATGTTGATGAGAAAAAGCAAAAAGTTTATCAGAAAAAGTTTGTCGCTTTGTTAGACTGATCAAAGAAATTCGTTTATTTTGTGTTTTTACACAGGTACCGTTATTTTAGAATTCGGGGAAAAATGAAAAATAAGTGGAAAAATTACCAAACGCTTGGATGTACTTGCTTTTGTAACTATCTAACGTCTTGACGGCATTTCTTTTTTCAAGAATAATAATTGACAAATTAAACTCTTGTGTTCAAAAAAAGTACGTTTTTGCTCTATAATTTTCTTTTTCTTGTGTTATTTCTGTTTCTTTACTTTGGTAATAGAAGTTTTTTGAAGAAAAGTTTTTTACAAACACAGAATGGAGTATGCAAAAAGTTATCCAACTTGCTTCTTTTAATTTCTACGTAGGTCTTTACAACAAAGTTAACCAATAAATATTTAATGCACTTTCATAAGTAGAAAATTTTTTGTAGACACAGACGACTATTGACCTGAGTGAATTAAGTTTAACCTGAATATAGGTGAAGAGGTTGTGGTCGCTGCAGGATCAAGGTTTTCACCAAATTGGTGTGCGAGCTTTTCAAACTGCAAGTCCTGCGACGTTTGTTCCCTCGGATTCTCTCCAATCAGATCGTCTGTTTTTGGTCTCTCTCTGCTGAAAAAGTAAAACAGTTTGCAACTCTGTGATCTTATGAAACCAAAAAATTTTGTTTTTTTTTTTTTTTTTTCAAATTGTTTACTGTAGAATTGCAGTGCCTGTTTAATTATTAAATTGAATAAATAAGTTTCTCGTTTCTTTTTAATAAATAACCAGCAACTATTTTTTCATCTCTAATTCCGGGCCTGTAAGTACGAAAGGTGAGAATATGCTGTATAACCACTTTATACCTGCCAACTTTAGTTTCTTCTTTCCTCTTTTTTCTTCTTTCTTTTTTCTGACATTGTTTTTGAAGGTGATAAGACAAGTACTTATGAAATTATGAGTTTAATGAATAATCGGTACCTACGATATTTTTGTTACAGAATAAAAGCCAGTATAAAAGCTTAATCCAGAACATTCTAAGGATCTGATTTCTAGAAATAAAAGCTAAACAAAATATTATCAGGTGGTTTGACAGTATAACAGTGCTTTAAATTGACTAGGTTTATCGGAAGTTAGTCATCTTTAATTGTTAGCTAACTGATATATTTGGCTTTGTGGCATTAAATTACACTATTAGTTTTTTTTTAGAACACTGATCAGTTAGTGCTCAAAAGCATTATGAAGGACATGAAGGTATTATCATCTAATCGACACTTTTAATGGTTGATAGAAGTAAGAATCAGTGAATTCTGTAACCAAAATATTTAGCTATTTTAAATCATATGTCTCAAAATTATTTTAAATAGTGATAATAAAAGGTGGAAGAAAAAAAGGAACTATTTGGTAAAATGCTAAAATATTTTTATTTTTTAAGCCAGCTTACGAGTCCTCAACCTGATCATGATTATTCAAACTTACACATTTTATTACGTCTATTTTGGTTCAATAAATGATAAACCTGACTTTATTTCAGTTGTATTTTCCTTTTATAGAAACGTTACTTTACGTTATAAAAAAATGTTGCATTTATTTAGTAAAATTTTCAACAAAAAATTGTTTCACCTATCTAATTACTATTGTTCCATTCGGTTGTGTTCACCTTTTACAAACCATTTCTACTGTTTGTTAATTAAAAAAATTGGTCTGTAATCAAAAATCGTAAGAGTTTAAAACATCTTTTTTTTTTTTTCTACACTGGTTCTGAATACTTTTCAAAAGAATTTTCTCAACAATTTTGACAGACTATGACACTCTGTACACTGCACGAGCAGCTGCTGTAATAAATTCTTTGCTAAATAATATTAGTTTAGGATTTTTAATATTGAAAAATTTCCTACTCAATAGTGTTAAGTTCGTAGATCGGATGATTTGCTGGTGTTCCGTACCTTGGAATCGGAGTAGTATGCCAACCACGATAAGTTCCGGAATTTGACGGACGAGTCGTTTGTGTTGACCATAGAGCAGCTTTTCGAGTAACAATTGGTACCTACATTCAATTTTTTGTTCATCTAGCAGAAAAGCTAACAATGAAAAGCAACCATCACTGCTGCAAGAAAGCATATCTTGGAAAATGTTCATAGTACAATAAAAGTTGCTGACCCTTGTGTAACCGATGTCGACACCATTTTTATGCACATTGAAACCAGGTAAGTAAGGAACAAGTTCATCGTAGATGTCATTGCTATCTGCCACATTATCATCGTCATCGTAGAAACTGTAGTCGAACGACGAAGGATTACTAAACCGAGTTTCATCCAGTACCACTTCTGAAAAAACCATATATGTTTTATGAAGCGTCTTTCTTCTTACTTTTTTTTTCATTATTATCTGTGACTCTCTACATTGATGTCAAACAAAAATAACGAAATGTGAAAATGACTTCTAAAGCCGGAAGTTTCTTTTTTTTTTTGGATTGACTAATTTTATCGCAAAACACGAGGTTTACTTACGTTCTGCAAAAGTTGGTCGTTGAGTGGTGGCCACTATCAATGCAACATAATAAATCATTGTTTTTGCTATTAACGGGGTACTAAAGTGCTTCTTATTGAGCATTTTTTTCTTTGCACAGTTTTCTATAGGTAGAATGTCAATGTTTAGGTTGAAAAAAAAAACTGTGATTATTCTAGGACGGTAAGAGGTTTGTCGTTTGAAGGTCTAGAATCTGAAATTGGCAATATTGACTATTTTTTTAAACAATATGCTGTACTTATAAAAAAAAAAAAAAAAGTAGGAAAACATTCATACTTCTGCTATACGTAAACTATAAATTTGTTAATGTAAACTATTATCATTTTTGACTGTCACCAACCAATAATAGTCTTGAAGTTTATAATCAGAACAAAAAAGGCAGACATCAGACGAATATTAAAGTTACTAAATGCAAGAAAAGTGTTTTTTTTTCGTTACATTAGGTGCCATTTTTTGCGGTTTGTCACTGTGAAACGAATAATGATTGTATTATAATGTATAAACAGCGAAAAAACGACTTAAAATACATGAAAAAAAAAGTGTATAGTTGTATGTATATTTGTGTTTCGACAACGAAATGTAAGCAACTTTTTTGGCCAAGATAGATACCCTGTAAAAATAAAAGCTTTCCGATGAGAGTAACAGTTGAGGAATGGTGAATAGTCGTATCAGCAAATATGCGGAACAGTGTTAAAGAAAACTGAAATAAATTATACGCATTTATTTTCAATACGTACTTTTTTATGCCAGAAATGTGTCAGCCTTTCCTTCTTTTCAACCAATTTACTTTTTTTTTTTACTGAAATATATTACACAGTTTTTTGTTGTTGATAAAGTGTAGTAAATGGAAATTTTAGAAACTAAAAGTTTCTTTGAAATAAGGAGGTTAAATTGTGGTAAATACAAGTTTCAGTCATTAAAGCTCTTGTGCTATGAATCACTAATGAATAACTAATGATAAAAACCAAGAAGCCTTCGAATAGTTGCATAAAGAAAAACAATTTTTTTCAATAAATAGTCAGGTAAAATTAAAGCAAATAGTGTTGTACTATTCTATCGTATTTTCCATCTTTCAGTTAGATAAGCTATACAGTAAAGAAAAGTTTCAAACTGATAATTCGTAGTGGTAGATTACGAAATGAGAAGCTTACTATACAAAAGACAGACAAAAACTAAAATAAAGTAGAAAATCAGAAAGACTGCTGTTTGGTCAAATGTTACCAGTAACTTATAAGTTACGCAGACAAAAGACCATTCAAATGCAACCTGTATTTTATGCAACAAACTATATGAATCATAATTATTGCAATTTAATAATAAAACAGAATTTAACTTCAAACACCACCATCAAACCTTATTGTTCTACACCTCTAAACTGTAAACAAAAAAAAAAGGAGAAAAAACAACACATGTGCTCTCAATTATAAAATTTACATAATTAATGAGTATTATGCCGGTCAATTAGATGCACATTTTACAACCTTGTATCAACCACTGTTTCTGCTCTATCTGATTCTTTAGCGAGAAACAGGCTAGTAGAACTTTCACATTGATAAGCGAAAAGCAACAGGTTCAGCAGTCTCAACACTGCCAACTGTTCACTAAATTCGCACAAATTCTCAAAGCTTCAATAACAAAAAAAACTAAATAAAGTAATCTGCATTAAGTACCGATAAAAATCTTAACTAACAAAAAATGCAGGTATTCTGTTGCTTGAAAAATGGAACAAACTGATGCTTTTTAAAACGTTTCTTTTTTTTTTTGATAACCTAAGTGCAAAGAAACTGTTCTAACTAATAAAGTGAAAAAAAAAGGTTTGTCCTCTTTACAAAAATTGTTTGATTACCAAAAAAGTAATTATAGTGACAAACTTGTTCTGTGAAGAAGTTATTATAAAAATACAAAGAAGAAAAGAATGGTTACCTTAACTTTATTACAGCTCAATTAGTGATCCCTACAAAAATAATAACCTGCTTTTTGAAAGAAGTTTCTAATAATTGTAGAAAAAAGAAAGTACAATTAAACAAACGGTGGGTGGGTTGGAGGGGAGGGGAGGGAGGATGGAAGAGGAAAGAAAGAAAGTAAATAGAGAAGATCACCTATAATACAGAATTAGCACATAAGAATTTATACTATAAAAAAGTTCAGTTAAAAACTACGTTGAAGTAGTCAACCTGGTTTCCGGAAAAAAAAAAAAGTAGATAGAAAGACTAGGCTTTTTTTTCAGTTTATTCTGAGTTAAAGTTTAATTTCTAAGCATTTTTTTGCTTTAGAATTTAACGTTTGTCATAAATACTTTTCTTTTTTCAGTCATTAAACTGAGGTGTAACACAGAATTCAACTGGTTTTTTTTTCAGCCTAGACAATATAAGTGACAACAGAAGTGTTACAAAAAAAAAAAAAAAAAA